TATTTAAAATTTAACCCCCCTCCCCCCTTTTTCCCCCACCGAAAAAAAAAAAAAAAAAAAAATTTTACTTAAAAAAAAATTTAAAAAAAAAAAATCCGTTTTGTTTCATGTATATCATTACATACGTGTATAAAAAAAAAAAAGAAAAAGAAAAAAGAAAATTTTATTTTTTTTTTTTAACGAATCATTTCCGGTTTTAAAAAAAAAAAATAAAAAAAAAAAAATTTATGTAATTAATTTTTTCCCTTATTTTTTTTTCTTTTTATTTAAAATTTGCCATTATTATTATTAATATTATTATTATATGTGTATTTTTTAATTATAAAAATTAATTAATTAATTTTAAAAAATGGCGGACGCAATTTTTTTACGAGTATCAAAAACGAAAAAAATCCGTTATTATTTTTTTTTTTCTGATTCGAAAAATCAAAAATTTTAAGAGAGAAAGAGTGAGAGAGAGAGAGAGAGAGATAGAGAGAGAGATAGGGGAGAGGAGGGGAGGGGATAATTCATTAAAATTTCTATATTATAATTATTATTATTAATAGTTTGACATCGAAATTAACGAACGTAATTTTTTTTTAAACATTATAGTTAAAGGACGACATATTTTAAATTATTTTAATTTTAATAAAATAAAATATTAAAAAAAAAACATCTGAACAAATTTTTTGTTCAGATTTAAATAAATAAATAAATAAATAAATTGAGGTCAATGATTTTCGATTCACGTGATTATTGATCCAAATATCGATTTTTTACACATTTAAATTTTTTTTATACATTTCCAAGCGTAAAAATTTAAATTTAAATTAACAATATTATTATTATTAATATTATTATTATTAAAATTAACAAAAATAAATTTTAAATAATTTAAATATGAAAAAAAATCATTACAATAGAGTAGGGGTTAGGGAGGGGGGAAACGAAATAATAATAATAATATGAAAACAATAGAAAATACGTGAATATTTTTTACTTACCGGAAGTTGAAGTTTTTCCAGAAGGATTAGAATCATTGTTTCGAACGATATTTTTTTCTAACGTTTCCTTTATATTATTATTATCATTTTCGGTATTTTTATCAAAGCTTAAAAATTTTAATTTAATAGTACCGAATAATTTATCAAATAAATTTATTTTATTTTTCATTTATTATTATTATTTTAATATTTACGTTAAATTAATTTCAAAAAATTATTCGAATTCATCGCGAGAAAAAAAAAAAAAAAAAAACAAATTTTTAACGGTTTTTTTTATTTAAAACCCCGATTGATAGAAAAAACTAATTAACGGTTATTTTTTTTAAAAAAAACATTTTAAACTTTTATTTATTATCTTATCATTAAAAAGTTTTTTTTTTCATTTTATAGTTTTTTTTTTTTTTTTTTGGTTGTTGTTGAGAAAGAAATCGATCGATCGATCGATCGATCGTTCAATTAATTAAATTTGAATCGCTAACTTATTTTTATTCAAACGGAAATAATTCCGATATCCGGTACTATTACGTCACGAGTACGTTGACCAACTATTTTGTTTTTTTTCGTTTTTTGCGTTTAAAAAAACTTAATAATTCGATTTTAAATATCATTCATTCATTCGTTCGTTTGTTTGTTTGTTTGTTTGTTTGTTTGTTTGTTTATATATATTTATATATATTTTCTCTGAGTCATTCTCCTAGTTTAATTTACAAAATAAAAATAAAGTTTTCAACACTTTTTACAAAAAAAAAAAAAAAGACATTAACGTCATTTTATTTTTTTAAATAGTTTAATCCAATCATCGTTAATTGTTTTTTTTTTTTTTTAATTAAGAAAAAATGTTCGTTTAAAAAAAATCACTTTAAGTGTTAAAAAGATTTTAGATAATTAATCTTGATATTATTATTATTATTATTATTATTACGTCATCGATATACAAATTAATAGAATTTTTAAAAATATTAATAAAAAAAAAAACGTTTCGAAATGACAAAAAAAAAGTTTTAACCGAGGATCAAAGTTTGATCATGTTAAATTAATAATAATAATTATTAAAATTTAAATTTAATGACGTAATAATTTTAATTAAATAATAAGCCCTGATAAAAACTTTAAATTTTTATAGAAAGAGAGAGTGAGAGAGAGAGAAAAAAAACTTGTCGGTCGCTTTGGTTTAAAGTTTTTGGAATAAAAAAAAAATGCAAAATTATTAAAAATAATGATAATAATTTCGACGTGGAAAATCATTTGATAAGAGAAAATGATAAGAATAAAAAAAAAACAAATTTTATTTAATTAATATTAAAATTATTTATATAATAAAAAAAACTTATATAAAAAGTTATAATATATATATATAATATTTTAATCGTGCATTTTTTTTTTTTTTAAAAATTTAAATAAAATTATATTATATAAAAATATATTTATATACTAAATAACGTTTTTATTATTATTATTATTATTTTGTAAAAATTCTTTTTTTTTAATGATAATGTACTCGAATGTTACAAAATTTTTACATTTCAAATAGGATTCCAGTAAGTCAAATATTATTTAATAGTATAGAAAATATAAATTTAATCTTATTAATTTTTTGACAATTTAAATATAATAGAAAACGGTAAAAATATTTTTTTAAATAACTAACATCACAAATTTAATAAATTTAAACGAATAATATTTTCAGTCTTACTTAAAGGCACATGATTTTTATTGTAGAATTTTTTTTAGAAAAAATTTTTAATGTATCCAAAAATAATGAATCATTGTATATGTGAAGTTTGATTTAAATTTAAAATTTAAGGCACTTAAATTTTATGCATCAAGTATAAAACAATAGAATTAAATTAATTAAATAAAAATAAAATGAAAATGAGTTTAACATTGTTTGTTATCAACAAATAATGTGTAATAAGTAATGTGTGATAAAGCTTAAACATTTTGTTAAAATAAAAAACAAATTATTCGGTTCATGTAATAATACTTACGAATCAAATATATACGAGTATATTTCAAATTGATAACGATACTGATAATATAATTGCAATATGTTTTGTGCAAATTAAATACTAAATATTTACAAATGCAAATATTAAATAATACTTGCATCAACAATACAAAAATATTATTTAAACATCATCCTATGCAGGAAGAAACTGTTATTTTAGCAACGTCTCTTGCATATGGAATGTACGACAAAGAATACCAAGTCATTGCAAGCGATTGCAAAACAACAAATATAATAACCAAAAGTCCTTTTTTAGCCTGAAAAAAATAAAAAATAAAAAGATGTAATTTTATTTTGGTTTTAGATGGTATTCAATTAAAATTAAAAAATAATACTTACAACAAAAGCAGCGAATAAAGTTAGACAAAACATAACGATAACAAGAATTGTAGCAATAGCTCTGGTAGGAGCAAACATTTTTTTAATTTGATTAACTGGTCCCATGAGAAAACAAGTGCTAAAAAAAAAATTTTTATTTGTAAATTAATGACATGAAAACTTTAAAAAGAAAACTTAAAAAATTATTTTTTTATTTACCTCCCTAGTGACACTATGTTTCCAAGTGTGTAAAATATAGCAAAACTGCCAAGGCCTAAACCGATAAAAAAACAAAATGAACCAAGAAGTGAACAAAATATTCCTGATACAAATAATATAATAAATCCTTTGATTCTAGTTGTCTTACTCAAAGTCATACTTTCTGAAATCTGTGGTAAAAGAAAAAAAAATAAAATAATGACAATTTAATGATGCTTGACAAATAAAAATGAATGATTATGATACCTTACCTGTCCTATAATACCAGTTTCTTCATCTACACTACTACTGTCATTTCCACTTAAAGCTTTTCTCAGTTTATCCATGTTTTTTTTTTTTTTTAAATTTTGTTTTAAAATAAATTTATTTATTTAGTGCGTTTACATGTACAATAATTCTAAAAAATAAAAAAAATGAAAAGTTTTATTTACAACCAGAAAAATTAAATTTTTTAAATTAATAAAAAATTAAAAACATGTAAATATTAGAGTTGTATAAAAAATTTAAATAAAATCTTATAAATACCAGTTTTTTATAAATATATATTGAGATAATTACGAGAAAGCCTGAAACATGTAATTAAAAAAAAAAAAAAAACTAAAAAACAAAAAGGAAAAATAATAACAAAATCTTAAATTGTGATCCAGGCCAGGTGTCTTTTTTTATCGCCACGACAATTTAATACTTTATAAACGTGGAATTAGAAATTTTACATGTTTTCAATGTGCTGTTAGGGTTTTTCTTACTTGCCTTTATTTTCATAAATTTAAAAAAAATGTTCTGAACCTAGCTGATGTAACATTATAAAAAAATTTAATTATTCTTTGTTAATTTTAGTTTCGATTAATAGAATTTTAGTATTGTAAAAAAATATTTAGCAATGTTGGTTTTACATAATTTACATCAGGTACGTTAATCAAAAAGATTTAAAGGCAAATAAATTTTAAAAAATTATTATTATTATTTTTTTTTTTTTTTGAAATTTTACCATGTGTGTTATTTATGACTTTGATTAAATTTTTCATTTCAGGTTGTCTTTAACTTATCTCAAATCACTTCAGCAATTACCTCCAGATCAGTATGTTTTTCTTCGAAACCAGTAAATAAAAAAAATGAAATTGATATACTATGTCACAATAGTTTTTTACAATCCCTTAAGCTTTTTCAACAATCAGAAAATTACAAAGTTTTTAATAATTTACCCAATGTCAAATTTGGTCCCAAACTAGAAGATATTCAATGGATATTTTTTAAAGATTTTAATTTTAAGTTTATTTCACATAAATCAGGTAAAACTTTTCGTAACAAAACATCACAAAATTATAATAATCTAAACTATGTTAATTATTTTAAAAAATTTTTTTCTTCATTTTTACAGTTTTTTAAATCCAACAATTTTTTTTTTTTTCGTTTTAGTTTCAAAAAATAATTTTTATTTAACAATAGATCGAAATCATTATGATAACGTTAACAGTGAAAATTTAAGTTTTGAATCGATAAAAAAAAATATTAAAAGTAACTTTTGTGAAAGACAATCTGAAGTATTATTAAATGTTGAAAATTATCTTAAAAATAAAGAAAAATGGAGTAAAAGTTTTGTGTCGAAAATAAATTTTGATAAAAATAAAGAAACATCTTATTGTGGGAGTTCTGAAAATTTAATGAAATTTAATAAAAGTAGTTCAGTTGTGTTTAATATTTTAGGAAATAAAAATATTAATAAATTACAAGCAAATACATTTGGTAAGATTTTAAATTCATATTTTAAAAAATTTATTTCAACAAGTGCAAGTGTTGGTATCATACAGTCAATTATAAATTTTTTTTTTTTCTCGATAATTTAAAACTATGCGATTTACATTTCGCAGAAATTCAAAAAAGGGGGTTTAAAACTAGGAGAGCAATTTTATCTGAAGATAAACTAAATCAAGGTTTTTTTCCAAAAAATGAAAAGAAAATGGAAACTGCTAATCAAACTTCAGGGCCTAATATGGTTTTTCAAAAAGCTGATAAGTATATAGGTAAATTGTGAAAAAAAAAGTCAAAATTATTATAGCATTAATTCATAATCATAATTTTAAAATAAAATTCAAATGAACTAAATGACAAGTGAATGTATTTGTTAAATTGCAGATACAATGGGAGATGAAAATTTGACAGCAGAAGATAAATTGAGGTCGAAAGTATCATATGCAGAGGGTTATTTGGCAGCGACAAACGAATTGAAAAAAAGCAACACTCCTTTCTCTAAGTTTATGACTTATTCAAAACAGTTTCTGTCATTTTTTACATTTGCTTTATTAATAGGATTAATTTTATTTCCAAGTACTTTATTTTTAAATAGTAATTTTTTTTAACGAGTTTATGTTATGTAATTTTTTCTATTTACTTTTATCATTCAGGTAGAAATAATTTATTTTCAATTAAATTTGGACATCCTGGAGAAGTTGATCCGGAAACTGTTGGAGTAACATTTTCAGATGTGAAAGGAGTATGTATAAATTAATTTTCATTTTCTAAATCGTGTTGTTAAAAGTTTATTTTATGTTGCTCTTTTTTTTTTTTTTTTAGGTAGATGAAGTAAAAGAAGAGCTACAAGAAATTGTTGAGTTTTTAAAAAATCCTCAAAAATTTTCTAGCATGGGAGGAACTTTACAAAAAGGAGTTCTCCTTGTCGGTCCTCCTGGAACTGGAAAAACTCTTCTTGCACGAGCAATTGCCGGTGAAGCAAACGTACCTTTTTTTCATGCCAGCGGTTCAGAATTCGATGAAATATTTGTTGGTGAAGGTGCCAGGCGGATTAGAAATCTTTTTAGTAAATATTTCAATTTAAATTTGTTTTCACTCGTTAAAAAAAAACTCAAACTGTCAAATATCAAAATACAATAATAATAATAATAATAATAATAATAATAAAATTAAATTTAGAATCGGCCAAAGCTAAAGCACCAGCAATTATATTCATTGATGAAATAGATTGCGTTGGTTCAAAGAGAAACAGCACAATGTTACATCCCTATGCCAATCAAACCATAAATCAACTTTTATCCGAAATGGATGGATTTGCAAAAAACGAAAATGTTATTGTACTCGGTGCGACAAATAGAAAAAGCGATTTAGATTCGGCTTTACTCAGACCTGGAAGGTTCGACGTTGAAGTTATGGTACCTTTTTCTTTTTTTTTTACCATTGACGAAAATGATTATTTAAAAATTAACTTTCTCTCTCTCTCTCTCTCTCTCTCATTTCAATTAAATAAATAAATTTTTATTTTTAGGTTCCGCTACCTGATTTAGTCGGTCGACAGGAAATACTTGAATTATACGTTAATAAAATCGTCAGTAAAAACATAGACATTGAAAAACTGGCAAAAGGTTGTTGTTGTTATTTTTTATTATAATTATTTGTCATTTAAAACGAATTTTTTTTTTTTTGTTATAAATAAAATAATTTGTAATTTACTTTAGCAACTGCCGGTTGTTCCGGAGCACATTTGGAAGCGATTGTAAATCATGCAGCCATTAGAGCTGCCGTTGAAGGCGCGCCTTTTGTTACAATGGAACACATTGAAGAAGCAAAGGATAAAATCATGATTGGTAAGAACGGGAGAGAATAAAAATCTTTATGATTTATTTTAGAATGTTTATGAATTAAATAATAAATTTCAGGTCCTAAAAGAAAACAAGCCACGGAAAGTTACGACGATAATCTTTTGACGGCATATCACGAAGGGGGTCACACGGTTGTCGCTTATTTCAGCGATGAAATCGGTCAATTAGACAAAGTAACGATTGTTCCCAGGGGAGGATCATTGGGTCACGTAAGTTCCTTTCCCTTTTCATAAATGAAAAGGAATTCAATTAAATTGTGTTGAAATTTTTAATTTTGGTTTTACTGCACAGACGTCGGTTGTTCCTTCAAAAGACGAAGTTTATCTTACAAAAGCGATGTGTTTGGCTAAAATTGACGTTGCTTTGGGGGGAAGAGCGGCCGAAGAACTTATTTACGGTCCGAATAAAATCACGGCGAATGCTGCTGACGATCTCGACGTAAGTTTTCATTTCCTCGACATTTTTTCCATCGACTTCAAAAATCATTTTATTTAAATAATAATAATAATAATTGTTATTATAGAAAGCTACAGCGTTAGCAGCTAGCATGATAAAAAGTTTTGGAATGTCGGAAAAAATTGGATTAAGAACGATAATAAATTCGTCGAGCACCAACAGTTCGGGACAAAGCGTGACGGACGAGGTCGACGTGGAAGTCAAAAGATTAATTCAAGTAAGGATCATCATTAACATGTTTATAAAAAAAAAAAAAGAGGTTTTTTCCTCCTTAATTTTATTTGCTATTTTTTTTTTTAACAGGAATCATACGAACGAGCAAAAAGCATATTGAAAAAACATGCCAAAGAACACAAATTGTTAGCGGAAGCTCTTGTCAAATACAAAACATTAAGTCCCGAAGACGTACGAGCGATATTGGGAGAAAGAGTGTCGGAAAAAGCATCCATTTCCGGTGTTAAATAATTTACTTAAATTTTTTTTTTTTTCATTAAACGAACTTTAAATTAAACGCATTTAGAAGGGAAAAAGTAAAAAAAAAAAAAAAAAAAAGAAATTAATAAGCTTCACAATTTTTTTTTAGTGATTTAGGCGTTAATTTATTAATGTTTGTATAAGAAAAATTAATTTTTTTTTTTTGTAAATTAAATTAAATTTAACGTGTTACCAAACATTAGCCTCATAATCTATAATTAAGTGATTGTAGTTGGTAGTCATAGAGTAAAATTTTTTGCTATTGTAAAAGCAAACGTGGAAGAAAACAAAAAATGTTGGACAACCTGGTCGTGGCAAAATAATCGTCGCGGGGAAAATGTTAGTAACGGTAATAAGAAATTGATGGGGAAAAAAATTTTTTTTTAATGGCGTGATTTAATTCAAACGGATTTTTTTTTAAAGGTAAGAGAACTTTGACCTTTTCGCGTCGTTTTTCTTTTTTTTCGTACCGGAAATGTATTATTAACGTTCACATTTGTTTTAAACACGAATTGTTTGTGTTATGATATTTTTACAATCGGGTCTTATTCGAATCACTCATTTTTTGGTTACGAGGTTAAAAATAATTTAAAAAAAAAAAAAATATGGCGCCGGTTATAATTTAATATATATATATATATATAATTTTTTAATGTAAATTTAAAAAAATTTTATTTTTCTATTTCATTTTTCCTTTTTTTTTCATGAAAAAAATTGAGAGGGTAAATTTATTGGGTTGGCAAAAAGGTAATTACGAATTTTTTAAGGAAACAAAAAGCGATTTATTAATTATGCAAAATTATTTTTATCTATTATATTATGTCCATTATTATTAGTGACCTTTTGACATTTTTCGGGTAGTATCATTTTCCTTTTTTCATAAAACTTTTTAGTTTTAGGAGCAAAAAACTGGTCCAATGCAGTACGATTGACCTCATTGTCGTTTTGGAATTTTTGTCCGTTCAAAAAATTTATTAGGGATCGGAAAAAATGATAATTATTTGGAGCTAGTTTGGAACTATAAGGAGGGTGCAGCAAAACATCCCAGCCTAGCTCCAGTAGTTTTTGTCCAGTGGCTAAAGATAGAGAGGGCCAGACATTATCGTGGTGAAAGACAATTCCTTTGCTATTGGCTAGCTCCGGTCGTTTTTCTTGGATGGTACCATTTAAATTTGTCAATTGTCGAATGTAAACCTCTAAATTTATGGTCTGACATCGTGGCAGCATCTCAAAGTAGACTATGCCTTTGTAATCCCACCAAAATGATAACAATACCATTTTTGGTGAATGTCAGTCTTAGAAGTTGTTGGTGCCTGTTACCTTGCCTAGATCAGGATCTTTTCCTCAAAAAGTCATCATAGACAATCCACTTTTCATCTCCGGTGACCATTCTTTCAAAAAAGGGTCATTCGCATTGCATTTAAGAAACATATCACAAAGACCCATCAAGCTTCTTTTGGTACCCAAGACGCCGTAGACGGTTTTTGACGCACGTATGTGACACATCTAGCTTCTTTACAATGTTCTTTGTCGAACTATGCCAATCATAATCAATGAGGGCCTTTATTTGCTCATCATAGACCTCCAATGGACGCCCGGAGCGCTCCTCATTTTTCAAAGGAAAATCTCCAGAACGGAATTTTGCAAACCAGTTTTGACACTGCCGTTCTATTGAGGCTTCATCCCCCTACACAGCCCATAACTTTTTATGGACTTGTGAAGCGTTGACACCCTTTCAAAAATAAAAAAGGAAAATGTGAAGGAAATACTCGCTTTGGCTCCCCGTGTTTGAATGTCTTTTGCTCGCGCACTATTTAAGATTTTGAATGAAATTTTGGTGTCAAATGTTACAGAAAGAACCAAGTAATAACATATCAAAAGTTCATGCCTGTACAAAAACGTAAACGTACTCAAAAAAATGGACAAACTATCTGTTTGTATAACCCAATAATTGCAGAGTAGAGACGGAGTTAATTATATTTTTACACACCGTCATTCCCATTGATGAGTATTCGTCGTGTCTTTAGACAATGACGTAAAAAAAAATGGGATAGGAAAAATTAATATTTAAAAAAAAAATTATTTAAATAAATTATAAAAATTAATTTATTGCATAAGTACAGCTAAAAATTTACCCGGTACGGGTATTGGACGGTCATTTAAAGGAGAAATAACAAATCTCGGTTGTATGTTTGATGCAGCTTCTCTATGCATAACGAATCTTTTTGAATGATTTGGCACATTTCTTGACTCTTGAACGTTTCTTTGAGTCGAGTCAAATCTTCTGCTATTATATTCTTTTTGTTCTTCAATTTCGCCACGTCGTGGATTTCCGTTATGAGTTCTTCTTCTAAATCCCGAAGAGGATTGTTGTTGCTGTTGCTGTTGTTGATTTCTAGGTAAATTCGATAGGTAAATACCCGTGGCTACATTTCTAGGATGTAATGTCGAAATGGGTTGTAATGCGTCGTTTAATGAAACATCATATTCGTCTGAATTGTCCAAATTATCGTTTTGATTTGGAAATTTTAAATTAACGTGTCTTATGTTATGATCCTGTACTACGTGATCCGGTTGCCTCCCCTGATTGTTTTGCCTCAAATTTGTTTGTTGTTGTATCGGGATTTGAATACTCGGATTAAAACCATTCGATTGTTCTATGGGTTTATTATACGAAAATTGACTAGGGATTTTAACGGTCGTTTTAAATTTTGGATTTTCCGAATAAAAACTCGGCGGCGAAATTTGCTGCGGTTGAGATTCGGGATTTTGCTGTGGAAAAGTTTGAGCTGAATAAATTTCTGAATTATCAGAATTAAAATGATTTATTTGTGGCTGTTGTTGATTTATTAAACTGGGAACGTTTTGCCTTCCCCTAAATACTTGATCCGGATTACGATTTCCCTGAATTAGTTGGGGTGGCGGTGGTGGTGGTGGCAGGGGTGCATCGCGATAATTCGAAAAATCCTGATTCGGCCTAAAATTTTGTCCGAAATTGGGATTTGGCTCTTCTCTATACGTTCCATCGTTTTCCGGTTGATATTCAGGCACGATGTGACTGCTGGAATAATCTTGAGAATTTCCGTTTCCTTTTTCTCGATTTGGTTCCTGATATTCTGATCTCGTGTTGATTAACTCATCGTTATTGTCTTTAATTTGAGGATTTGTAGGAAAATCGACATTTTCTTCCGCAGGACCACTCGCTTGAGTATCAACGTCGTATTTTGGAAGATCCAATTCGGTACTTTGAACTTCTTGATAAAACTGTGTTAGTTTAGGTTGATCTACTCCGATGGCGGTCGATAATTTAGCTCTGAATTCTACTCCTCCGTTGCTCTGATATTTAAATTCATTTTCCGGTTTTTCGTTATTATCATCGTAAGAAGAAAATTCTTGTTCGTTTTCTTCTTGTTTCTTGTTGTTTTGAAGACTAAAACCTCGAGGAGTTTGAACGGCTTTAGATCCCACCGGAAGTAAACCTCTGGGAAGATTTCCGTTTCCGTTTCTGCTCGGTAGGAAAGGACGTCTTCGAGGTATTGTTTGAGGAGTTTTAGGAGCTCTCGGAGCTAATTCTTCCGATGTTGTAAAATCATCTAATGGGACTTTTAGTTTTGGCGTAGTGAGATCTGCAGCATGCTGTTGCTCTGATGGTTTTACATATCGATTATCATCATCAGAAGTTGAAATTTGAGGTCTGAATTCACCTCTTTCGCTTTTGACCTCTTCAACTTTTGTTCTAGAAAAAAAAAAAAAATTCAATTTCTTATATAACCGTAAATTTGAAATCAAATTTTTTCTTCTTCATCATCATCAAACCTTTGATTAAATTGATCGAATGACGGTTGATTGATCGGTTCTTGTGCCCCGACATTTTCGATTGGTTCCTCAACAGATGGAACTCTGGATAAAGGAGGTCTTTTAAATCCATTTTGTTTTCTTCCGTTTGTTTCCGTGTAAGGTCTTCTAGTAAAAGGCTGTGCTTGAACTGGCAACACCGCATCATACGGTTTAGTTATGAATGCTGGTCTCGCTGCGGGTACCGGTTTACTTTGCTCGTTATTATTATTACTTAATTCTTAAATTGTAAACAAAACAAAATTAATTTTCTTTTTCCGTATAAATTTTTGATTCGTTTGTTTTTCCAATTGACTTACCTTCTGAATTACCGGAAGTTATTGGAGCTCGCGATCTTTGAGATGGATTTCCGCCTCTGATTGTACCTTCTTCTTTATTGTCTTCATTCCAATAAGGTTTTCCCGGTTCTTCGACGCTTTTAGATCTTTGAGCGGTGAAACCATCGAATTTTTTTGTCGTTTCAACATCAGAAATTTCTCTGGTCGGTATTCTACTTTTAAATTGAAATTTATCCGAATTGTCTCTGAATTTATTTAATCTTTCCTGATTTTTATTTCGATCTTGATCGCGACCACGTGACTGAGTAATTTCATCTTGTTTATTATTATTATTATTATTTACTACTTCTTTATGCTCCGTACCAACTTTGATTATTTTTTCATCGTTTTTAGGTGATTCCGTCGAATAAGATTCTTTTTTTTCCGCACCCCTAAATCTGTCGTTATCAGTTGAAAAATAATGCCTGTTATCACTGTTCGTTTCTCTATTTCTATTTTTATTTATTTTACTATCACTATTTGATCGAAATAATTGATCGTTTCTATTTCTATTAAAACGTTCTTCTGACGTTGTTTTTTCTACTTCGCGATTTCTTATCACCGGTTTTTCTTCTTCCCTTACTCTTATCGGCCTATCATCTTCTCGTAATCGACTTGGCCTTTCATCAGCATCTCTGCTTTTTATGGGTCTGTCATAATCTCTATTTCTCTCTCTGTTTCGAGGCCTGTCGTAATCGAAATCTCTGCTTCTGTATGGTTTATCTCGATCGTAATCGTGATCTCTGATACGATATTCCGGATCTCTATTTCTTCTATGCGGCCTGTCGTAATCGTAATCGTCGTATTCATCGTATCTGGGCCTGTTTCTACCTGGCCTATATCTTCTTACCTAAAATTTTCGTTTTTTTTTTTTTTTGTTATTGAATTCGATAATAGGTACGAAAATAATTTTCAATTTAATTCAACGATATTTACTTCTTCGTAATCATCATATTCATAATCGACATCATCTGGTCTTCGCCTTTTTTTTGGAGGACGCCTGTCTCTATAAAGTCTATCATCTCTGTCTCTGTCCCTATCTCTATCTCTATCTCTATCCCTGTCTCTGTCTCTATCCCTTTCACGCTCACGATCTCTCTCACTATCTCTATCTCTCTCTCTTTCTCTCACTCTATCTCTATCCCAGTCTCTTTCAATATTTCTATCTCGATCCCTTTCTCTATCTCTATCCCTGTCTCTCTCTCTTTCCCTATCACTACCATAATCATCCTCTTGTTTATGTTCCCTTTCTCTCTCTCTTTCCGTGTCATATTCTTTATTTTTATCATCCGGTTCGTGATATTGATTACTCTGTTCAAACAAACAAAAAAAAAAAAAAAATGGATAAAAACGAAAATGAATTTTCAAAATATTTTATTGCCCTAAAGGGAAAAATGTACCGACCGGCTTTCTTGAACTTTCTGATTCTTCAAATTTCTTTTTCTCAACTACGGGCTCTTTAATTATGGCGCGTGAATCGCTGCTATAATCATATTTATCTCTTTCGTTTACCGGTACCGGTCTACGAATTTTAGGTGCCACTCTTGGACGATCAAAAACGGATTTGTTGGGTCCGGTTGGTAAATCTTTTTCTTCTTCCGGATCTTGCGAATGATCACTGTCGCTCAACGACGGACGCGGACGCGGTTTTCTTCTTCTTCCGGTATCTTCATCGTAATAATCATCATCGGCAAAATCTTCATATTCATCGTCGTAATATTCGTAAGATGGTTTTTTCTTTCTGGAAAAAAATTATAAAAAAAAAATTGAAAAACCGTTAAAACAAACGTCCTTTTTACAAAAAAAATTCGTACTATACCTGTGAGGTCTTCGTCTTCTACCACCTGGAGAATCCTGTTGTGCTCTCCTTAAAGCCGAACCTGATCCACCGTAGGGTGAAACCGTTGTCGTTGTTGTAGCTTTATAAAGCGCTTCATTTCTATTAAAATAATTTATTTATAAAACAGTAAAAAAATTAAACTGCTGAAAAAGGACATGAGGAAGAAAAAAAAAAAAAAGGTAAGAAGAGAAAGTAAAATATTAACTAATAAAAAGAAAGCAATAAAGAGAAAGGTAAAAAAAAAAAAATTTAAGTTAAAAGATATGAATTATTTCAAATCAATTTTTTTTTTCCGGGGGGGGGGGTGGTGAGGGGGAAGGATCTACTCCCTACTCATAACAATAAAAATTTACTTTTTAAAAAAGTATAAAAAAAATTTACCTCCTCCTCTTTTACTCACCTGTTAAAATATCTCGGAGAATTTTTACAGTCTACTTCAGATGCAAAATGGCAAATAAAAGTTTTCTGATCGAAAGCCGTGTAATTGGCACAAAGGAAATCGTACCTGGTTCCAAACAAACAATGATGATAAACCTAAAAATATTAAAAATCAATTTACGGAAGCGAAGGAACAACAACCACAAATAGACAACGACAAACGTTAAATTAAGTAAATAAATAAATAAATAAAAAAAATCCATTAATAAAAAATTATTTTCGCTAGAAAAGCAAAAAAAAAATTTCTCTTCGCAAATAATTTTCTTTAGCGCAAAAAATTTTGCTGCACGTCACACGCACACACATCATTTCTTAGAATTTTTTTTTATATCCTCTTATGCGTTAATCAAATTATACGCACACGCACGCACACACATTTTTTACAAAAAAAAATCCCATACTCGTGTGGGATTACTCGTCTAAATAGTATAATAATAATAATAATAATAATGGTAATCACAGTAAGTGTAAACACACACACACACACACAACATGACATTTAAATATGAAAGAATTACGTAAGAAGAAAATGTTACTTTCCATCTATTAATCATTAATTTAAAATAAAAAAATGAAATCCACTCGTAGGATTTTCGGGATTTCCTGTCGTCACGCCAACAGGTGGATTCATTCATTCACTCACCTGACATTTGTGAGGAACGCTAGCATAGAAACCATCGTGCAAACCGTCGCATTTGAAATCAATGTCTTCCGGTATCGAATTATAAAATGGATAATCAGTCAAATTATAACCGTTAAGTTCTCTTGGTAAATTTGGATCATATATGTAATCTATTTGTGGCACTCCCGTTAATTTTGTCACGTTTCCCACGCTGATTGTTTCGTTTGACAAATTAGAGCTAACGTTTCCTCCGACGACGGATCCATTCTGGAAAATTAATTATTGACAAAGTCAAACCGGAAACAAAACAAAAACACATCACATTATTATCATTATTATTAACACTTACGTCTTCTTCACCCGTTGGAGGTACGTCTGATATTTTTGGTTCTGGTTTTGTCTTTCCTAAAATTAATGCTGTCGCTCGAGCTGCATCCGCACTTGAAGTCAAAAAAAACAAACCTGTTTTAAAGAAAATATTATTTGTTAATAAAAGAAATGATAATAATAATAAAGTGTATTTATTCCTTAACCCAATTTATTACCCGAGGATCGATTTTAACGTGAAAATCGTGTCCATTTCTGGAAAATGAAGACACCATAAAATAAAATTTTCCCGCGTCCATTTTATTAACTAATAGCAAGGTTGATGCAAATTTAAATCTTTCAATTTGAAAAAATGGCGCGCGATTAATTTTAAATTTAAAAAAAATTTTTTGTTCTTTCTGGAATATTCTATGAAATTAAATATTTATTAACGTCCTTGTGTTTGTTATTTGAAACAAGATAACCTTCATATAAGTGGGCAGTTCCACCAGTATTATACTTGTATCTCTATTCCGAAAAAAACCGAAAAATTATCATTATTATTATTATTATTATTATTCAAAGAAACTATTTTAAATTTTTTACTCATCATAAAAAAAAACTGTAAGCTAATTTTTTTTTTTTGGGGGGGGAGGGGGCGGGTTTCTAACCATTCGTTTTTATATATTCTTATCATTTTTTCTTTCTGCTAAAAATGTCCCATATATGTGGAGAATTAAAAAAACGTGGAAGAAGAAAATTTAAAAATTGATTTATTTATCTACAACAATTTGAAAAAAAAACTCGATAAAAATATTCATTCCTTTTTCCTTCAGGTATATTTTCATTATTTAAAAAATTATTATTATTATTATTATTATTATTACGATTTATTTTTCTGTTATTAAAATAATTATAAATAAATATTTAAATAATCGTGAACGTATATACATATATTACGTAATCGTTTTAAACAACGTGTAATTTTTTTTTTTTTACATCGATACCGATTAATTATGTGATCAATAATCGATCGATATCGATTTATTTATCGATTCGATATCGATTTTATCATAAACATTTTTTTTTTTTTCCGTTTACGTTTTCCATCAATTTAAATAACGATTTCAAATTAACGTTAAAAAATTTTTCCTTTTTTTTTTTTTTTTTTTTTTTTTTTGTAACCTTGACACGAAGTATAAAATTTAAAAATTTGAAAGTGAATTTAGCCTCCTCTCTCTCTCTCTCTCTCTCTCTCTCTCTCTTTAATATTAATTATTAATTTAATAATAATAATAATAATAATAATAATGATGAAAAATTCAATCGTGTCTTCTTTCACTGCCCTAATTTTCCTCTCATTAAAATTAATCATTCAATAATCAAAACGTAATATTACATTTTTAATTATCATTATTTTGTCTTTTTTTTCTGCCACGTTATTATTATTATTATTATTATTATTATCACCAACACCGCCACCACTTTTACTATACTACTATTACTTTTTTTTTTTTTTGCTTTTTTTTCTCTCAATTGTGTAAATAAAAAAAAAGAAAAATTTGAAATTCAAAATGGCCGACATGAAAAAATAACAATTGTTATGCGAAATTTTTTTTTTTTTTTTTTTAAAATGAGAGAAAACTAAAATAATAATAATAATAATAACAACGTAGTGAAATTTAATACGTTGTTTAAACAATGATGATAATAATAAAAAATTAAAAATAAATTTAAAGTAATTTAATTGTAAAAAAAAAAAAAAAATAATCGACGGACAGGAAGTAGAAGAAGAAGAAGAAGAAGAAAATTTATCATAACCGGAAACCGCGACAAAAAAAAAATATGAAAAAATTTTTTATTTAGAAACCGGAATAAGGTGATTTTTTTTTAACGTGGAAATGGAAAGTTGTTAATCGACGAAGAATCAGTTATCGATGACAGTACCGCAATATAATCGTAATCTAATGCCACGAAACCTAACCTTTTTTTTTGTTGTTAATAATAATTAACCAAGTGCAAATAAGGAGAAACTATAACCGAATAAAAATAAAATTAAATCCTTCGATTGAAATTTAAACAATAAACCATATAATTACGACGACAAAAAAAAATTTTTATAAGAAAGTTTACGAGAACCATATTTAATACGTATCGAATTTTTTTTTCCTTTTTGCAAATGAGACGCCATTTTTGTTTAAATATGGCGACGTCAGACATGACGTTTTTAACTAGAAAAAATTCATTATAATTAATAACAATAATAATGATTTTATATCTCCCTTTGGGCAGGGCGTAAAATTACATCGTTTTCTATTATTATTATTATTATTATTTCTTTCTCATTTTCATATTTTGATCGACCGTTATTTTATTAATTCAAAAAATTTTTTTCCCCGCCATTTTTTTTTTTTTTTTTCTTAAGGAACATTCAATTCAATTTCTCATTATTATCATTATTATTATCACACCTATTGTTTTTTAAACTCTTTGTTTATTAAATAATTTATTACTTTTTTTTATTATTTATTGATATTTATTCCCTTAGTAATAATAATAATAATAATAATTAATAATAATAATTTTCTTTCACGTTTAAATCCCTTTCTAAAAAATTTCTGATTACTTTCATACGACGACCGTGAGCTACCTATTCTTTTCTCATAATAATAATAATAATAATAATAATAATAATAATAATAATAATAATAATAATTAGAGATATTATTTCATTTGTTTTAATTATTAAAAAAAAAAAAACAAATCGATAGTAGTATGTCGCGAAAAAGTAAAAGAAAAGTAAATCAATATCGATCGATCAATCGATCAAAAAGAAAAAAAAATTAAAGAAAGTAAAGAACAAAAAAAAAAAAAAAACTTGTTTTTTTTGCTATAACGAAAAGGTGTAAATAATAAATATTTAATATTGAATTTTTTTTTTTTTTTAAGAAGGCGGTGATAAATCGAATAAGGAGAGAAGATTACCCATAGCAAAAAAAAAAAAAAAAAATTGAATTTAAATTTTTCTTACTCTCGTTAACTTTTTTTTTCATATCTAATCACGATAAAAAATTATGATAATAATGTATTAAATTTTAAAAGGTTTCCTTTGAGCAAATTATTATTATTATTATTATTAATACAGGTATTATGGGTGTAACCGGCAAAAGTGAAAAAAAATATATATATTCAATTATTTATGATTTGTTTGAGCGCAAAAAAAGCAAATTTTTTTTTTTTTTTTTTTACTACCTTCTGGCCATTTTTAAACGAATTCAAGACTCGCCCAAAAAAAAAAAAAATTTATTTTCGTTTCCTTTCGGAAAAAGATTTTTAAAAAAATTAAATATGGCCGACTCAAATTTATAACAAGGTTATACAAGGTTATTATAATTAATCAAAATCCCCCCCCCCCGGAGAATTCCCCTGGAATTTATCGGAATTTGACGTTTTAAAAAAAAAACTAAAAATTTTTCATATAATAATAATAATAATAAATTAATTCTTAATAAATATTTTTTTTTTGCTACCGAGAATTCATGATTCGAATGAAATAATTTAAATTTTGATTTAATAACGAGTCGGCAGTAAACGATGGCAAAAATTAAAAAATATGGGTGAAGTCGTACATTGAGTAACTTTATATTATATTCAAGGTAAATTATTATTATTTACGCGCGTATAGTTTTTAAAGATGGCCGTACATATATGAATTTTGCGCCGAGTATTCCATATCTATTAACCGTAGCAAATAAATCTCGTGATATAAACAACAACAAGAATCATTTTAAAAAAAAAAAAAAAAATCTCATCGTGTAAAGAATAAAATTTTTTTTTTTTTAATATCTTATATAGGCGTTAGAATGGCAGGTTGAATATTGGTCGTAATGACCTGTCGTTTACCTCACATTTAACTTTCACTCAATTCTATGGCCTTCTCTAATTGTCTTCTAGTTATTTTTTTTTTCCTTCACTTTTTTTTTTTTTTTTTTTTATTCTGCTTTTGATTTATACATATATATATATATAAAAAAATGATACGTAACGTAATCCTTTTTACCCCCCCCCCTCCTCCTCCTCCTCTCGTTTAAAATTAAATCCCGAGAAAATAAAAAAATCTACATTACATCATGACATTTAATGATGGGGAAAACCTTATTTAAAAAAAAAAAGAAGAAGAAATTTAAAAGTTTTTTTTGTAATTAATGCCAAAAATAAAAAATGTCGAATTTTAAGGTCGTTTTATAAACAGAAACATTCTAGAAGGTAACCGAAAGGAAATTATTGTGGATTAATGATTAATAAATTACGAGGGGCATTGTTATCATTAATTAATTAATTAAATACCATATTTGGTATTTGTTATGTTTATTATCGTCCATATTTGAACATTTTTTTAACACGTGGTTTAATTTTCCAAGGTTTAATTTAAATTTCGAATTTTTCTTTTGTATATCATCCTAATCAAAAACTATACAGATCCCTTATTTCCCTTATTATTATTATTATTATTTATTAACGGTTAATATAAAAACTATGGATAATATCATCATCATCATCACGTTAAAATAAATTTTCATTCGTCGTTTTATTAAAAATAATAATAATGATAATGATAACAACGGGAAAAAATAATAATGATTTGTAAAAAAAAAAATTTTCGATGCATTAAAACTGTTATCTAACGGTTAAGTATAGCCAACTTAAAAAAAAAAAAACCGTGTTAAACTTATGCAACGTCGTAATATATATTTTTTTTTTTAACATTTAAATTTTTCAATTTTCTAAATTTAATTTTTATTACGTCACGAATAAAATAAAATAAAAAAAAAATCATCCGAGTTTTGATATTAACGAATCCTTTCCGTATAAGAAATTTTACTTTTAATATTAAAAAAAAAATCGATAAAGCATTTTTTTTCCACTCATAAATTATTATAATTTTTTATTTATTAAATACTGAACTTAAATACTTTATTTATTAAAACTTGTAATTAAACCTGAATTAAAATACATAAAAAATTAGATTTCGATAAAAACCCTTTTTGTGAACTTTAAAAAATTTTACCGGAAGTGAGAATTAACGATTTAATTCGATAACCTTAATCTAACCGTCAATGATTTAAATTTTTTCTTATAAAAAGGAAAACAAGCAAAACGTATCACATGGATTATGATATACGATTGCGATTTAATTCATTATAATCCACCAATCTTAATCCATTAGAATCCGCTAACTTAATCCATTATAATCCACTAATCTTGTGTATATTT